AGCGAGGGACGATGCGTCGTAGAAGTTTATAGTACAATTGGAGCATCGCGTGACTCCTGTATATACACAAGTAAGGAGCTCAAAATATGTGGGGTTGTCAACGCCATTCCCCTTGTTTGCTTTCCGTTGAATCTCGACGCAACAGGGGTTGCGAGTGCGCTTCTCGCTGACGCCAGTGTGGCCGTATTACTTGCGTACTGGCCGGCTACCCTACGCCATACTCTATTGACAAATCAGGCCCCGTCAATGAGTCAGTGGATCCGGGAGCAGCTGCGAAATCACTGTAGAACTCTGCCATGAGTCCAAAATCGTTCTCGTTCTACTCAGGATGCGAGCACCGCCTGGCCCTTCTGCACGGTGCACTCTTATCCTGTTAGTTAACGGTCTGTCTACTAGTCAAGCGCTTCATGAACTAACAAGGCTGCGCAAAGCCACTGGCCCGAAAAGGAGGCACAACATTGTCCCGCCTTTCGTAAACTTGATATGGCCGTATCCCATATACGGCCCAGAGCTCTATGCTCTGGCGGTCCGGTTCTTCGTGCTCACCGCCTCGGAAGGGTTCATCTCACGTATGAGTAGTGACATTGTCCTTCTCCATGATCAAAGGCATCGCCTGAAGAACTAGGACAATGATTCCTTCTACTACGAAACGCTGGAATCCGCAGCCGGTCTGAAGCCCTCTGGGCATGGGGTCCACACGCCTCCCTTGGCCCCAGGGTCACGAAGCGACATGACTGCAGGATTGCTGAAGTAGCTGTCCGTTGTTAAGTTCTCCTGAGCCATCACCACTGTTTCCTTGAGGCGCATCCATATCACCAGGTCGGCCCCATAGAGATATTCTTCTAGCCCGCTTGCCAACAGGATTTATCCAAGTTTATCTTCGTGACTATATAGACAACATGGAAAGATGTATATCACTGATGGAGTATACTCCATCAGTGATAGACATCTTTCTATGTTGTCTTCTTTCTCCCCTAGGACCTGTCTCTAGTCCGCACGCACTTCAGGTGTTTCAGTTTCGTAGATGCATCTGTGTGTCCGTTTCTGGTTCCTCCTGTAGGAAAACGGCTCAATAGTTTCCGCAGTTGCGGATCGAGCATTGAATACAAGAAATATCGGGTTTTGATCTTCTTGTAACGGCCCCCAAATGTAATGAACGTCTCACTCTATTGTTACTGCTGTTCTCTCCTTTCCATGCTGCACACTTTACATCTAAACGCTACATTCGCTGTATTTTCCCTAAACTAAAAAAGCCGAAGGACAGTCTCTTACTCGTATTAGAGTCGCATCCTCCTAGAAAAGGTGGAGTAATAGTATATATACTGACGTGGCGGCGCTAGTTCGACCTATGGAGAACCGCCCAAAACAGAGGAGCCGCAGTAAGTTTCGGGTACCGATTAAAGAGCTCATTCGTCAGGCGTATGCTAATGTGGTGTCTGCTGATGATCCCATTGCAGCATTTAATCTTATCACACCGACACGCGACGTTGCAAGTGGCGCAGCACATGCACCTCCCCCGGCTATTTTTAATAACTAAACAAAATATGTTCGATTATCAGTGAATCGCTAGTGCTCTCCAACCTAACTCGCGACACGGTGCTTCTGCGGCAGCAGGAAGTACGTCTTTTTTCTCTGCTTTAACATATCCAGACTTTTAATCTATTTTACTCCAAACTCTTCGGTTTTTCTCGCCTGCCTCCCCTTTTGTGCGGAACGCTTTCCCATTCCCCGTTCACCAGCTTCCCTTTCTTCTTGCCGGTATCGCTTTTGCTCTGCAAGCAGCCTGCCCTTTGCTGGGACCTGCG